GGGTTCCCCCAGGTCGATTTTTCAATTTTCTGGCGCTGACGGGGTCCATTAGCTTGGATAGCCGCCCTAATGGCTCGACTAGTCCTTTCTCGGAGTTTCAGCACACTCTGCTTGGGCTCGTAGAGCCGTGCTGCGGCTGTCGCCGCTTGTTCCCACGACTGATATTTCACTTGCCCGTTATTGGTTATTAGAAGATGGAGGTCCGTCGGTAGCCCGGTACAGTAATAGTCAGCGAGTTCGTCGGGGGCAACGCCCAAACCACGCTCCGCTACAGCCGCAAACCGGTACGTGTATTCTTTCGGGTTACCACTCCACCGTACTTTAGCCAACTCTGTTAACAATTTACTCTGCGACATTGTTTTGTCAAACCGCTCAAAAAGCCTGCGCTGTAGTGTCGCCCAATCGCTTAGGTCGATAGTTCTCTGTAGATACATCCAATACGTTAGAGCCGGGCCCACAAGGTGGTCTATACGTGCATTTCCCCACTCGCGCGGTTCCAATCCCATCTGGGTGTACCGGCGCTCAATGCGCAGCAGAAAGGCCTGCATAGTGCTGCTGTCTTCTGGTAGTGTGGGAATTGTTGCGCTGGATTCCACGGTCCTCCCTATAACAGTTCTTATCACACTTATAGCGGACTGGAATTGGTACCACGTGACGAAGGGACTGTCCCCTGGCAGAACATTGGTCATAGGTATCACCTGCGGGGGCGCCTCCTTACGCCCATGCGGCCGCTCTGGCACAGTGAGCTTCGGAGTCGCATGGCGATGATGGGCTGACGTCCCGCTCGGCATTTTGTTGACTGACATTGTAGAAGTCTCCTGCGGTGTGGGGCCGATAATGCGTCCGCTGCGGAGATGCATCACTTACGAGCGAAGATTTCTAGGCGTGAGTTATTAAAACATAGTATTTCTACTCCCAAGTCCGGAAAGAACAAAGATTTCAATCCCGGAACAGCCCCTAAATGTAGTGCACAGCGCCTACTGCTGTGACTACGCTTCTACCTGCCCCTCGAGCAGGGCCTATGATCGGCACCTAAAGTTGGGCCATTTCCTTGAAACAGTAGCTTATATATATCGAAATACAGTTATTCTTAAGTTTCCAAATTCTGTTGTCTTTCAATTCGCCCCACTCGGCGTGCTCGCCTCCTAGGCCCTGTGGGGAGGAGGCCTGTACTGGTGCCGGCGCTACCAGTCTCGACGCATTTTCAGGCACCTCTAGTGTATGCATGTTAATTCGCAGACAAATTGCCTTACTCTGATCCCAGTAGGAGGGTCCTGTCCTCCTCCAGTGTTGCAACCCCTGGAAGGTCGCTAGCTAGCTATCTTCTATAGGTCACCAGCAAGCCCTATTGTAGTGCCTGTGCACTACAGAGGAGGCCTGCACTGGTGCCGGCGCTATCGCCAGCCCCAGTCTCCGCGGATTTGCAGGCACCTCTAGCGTATGCATATTAATTCGCAGACAAATTGCCTTACTTTGATCCTAGTAAGAGGGTCCTGTCCTCCTCCAGTGTTGCGACCCCTTGTAGGTCGCTAGCTAGCTATCTTCTATAGGTCACCAGCAAGCCCCATTGTAGTGCCTGTGCACTACAGCTACCGTCTTAGAGCCACCACCAATCCCTATTGTAGGGCCTGCGCACTACAGCATCGCTGTTTGGTTCCCTTGGCAGGCGTGATGCCCCACCATTTAAGACGGTGAATACACGAGCCCCAATAAGCCATCGTCTTCCTGAGGCGTCACAGTGGGGAGCCGTCCTAGTCACGCCTGTACGCATTTTAACACTGCCTGGATAATAAAGAAGCACGATTAGTTAATGCAGTAAGAGGCGTTCATACTATGTCAGACAGCCACACGGCAAGGACAAAAGTGCCCAGCATGCATCCGGAACACGACACTAATTGGTGAACTGCCAAAAGCGAATGCCATACTATCGTTTGGGCAAAGCGCCTGGAGTTCGGGGCAGTGTAGAGCCGTGCTTTACGTTGTCAGCGGCTTCGTTTTCTTCTTCATTTTGTTGTGTATCAAACATTTTCAAATTTCCTCCTACAGCCTAGCCAAGATATTTTTCTCTGCGTCGGCAGCTGGCCCTTCGTATTTGCAGCCGATCTTGTCGGTGGATGCTTTTATAATTGTGGGCACTGTCGCGTCTGCGCACACCACATTCCTGGGGAGACTTTTCGGCGTATGACGTGCCTTCATACAATCCCGTCTGTTCACCGCTAAAAGTCTCTTAGGCATAGCCAGTGTTCGTGGGCGCCTCGTCTACTGAGGGCACTGCTCAATTTCTACAAAGCGTGGGAAAGTCCCTAATGACGCCTGTTTTGCAGCGGGTCATATGCATTTGGTTGAGGTTTTGCAGTTTTTGATCTGCTGGCTCTCCAGTTGCGTTTGTGCCACGCAAGTTCTTTTGGCCCTCTCAAAGTTTGCATCGAGTGACGGGTTGACGGGTTCACAGCTTTGTTGCTTCTCAGACTTAGCTATACTGCAAAGCCAGAGCTAACAGGTGTGGCCTCAGGATGTTGCTTCCTTGTGGTGTGAAAACCACCACACCATGTTGCCCTCTGTAATTTGAGCTCCTGCGGGTGTACATATCTGCGCATTATGGACGCCTCACACGTCATTTTTTACCTGACTAGGTCTCTGCTAACACGGTCTGCGAGGAGCCTTCTTATTTTGTTGCCTTATATTTTTAGGAACTACTGTTTCACAAAAATCCCGGTTCATCAGGTCTTTGTCAAGCGTCATCATTCCAGAGCAGCGATCGGTCGAGACAGGCGGTGATCCTGTTTGACAGCCATGTCACCTCCAGAGCAAATCGCGGATGCATCTCCGGGCAAGTTTTGCATCTTCTCCAATCAAAACGTTATGCCTTCTGCTTACGTAGTTTCGTCGTTCCAGCTGTTTATGCGGCTTGTGCCGGAATATGTGGTGGAGATTCTGCAGTTACTCCCGAAACTTGTTTGTAGAGCACATGCAAGTTGCACTTTGAAGGGACACTCGCTGCTAAGGACGTAGACTAGGGCTACCACTAAACTGCTCCAGCGCTGTTGCCCAGCACAGTCCGAAGTACCCCACATATACATTCGAGTAGACTCAACGTGGCTGCTGCTCCCTTTTGCTAATTGTACTAGAAATGTGCCAAGTAACATGAATAAATAGTACGGATACACCTGTAGAGATTAGCAATTCATTGAGGAATGGCTCCAAAAGCGTGGAGCGCAACGAAGAAACAGAATCATCCCTATTGCGAACTACTCATCCCATATCGTGCACGAATTACACGGCTACTATAGCACACCCTTCAACTGGCGCTGTTACTGGGAAACTTTTACGTCTATCATTGCAGGTTCATCAACTCTAAACCAGCCAGCCCAGTATACTTTGGGTTCTGGGGTCCCACCGACGCTGTGACACTCCACTCCAGTGCACAGCGTGCAGTATCTGGAACGTTGTGCTGTATATTTCTTTCTTAAGGACGCGTAAAGAAATAAATTTGGGGCAATTGAAAGAAAAAACAGTAGCCTTTCTCAGACGGGCGCATTATGTGTCAGTCGAGACTCCCATGTGAACCACAGGTATTGCTCTCTTAACTGTCTTTTAGAAAAGATTTAGTGTCCTGGTCCGTGTTAGCGTTGGCCAGGATGTTGCTGGGCTCACTGTGACGTTTTACTGCAGAGATAATACGTAGCAGCAGGCAGCGTCGATATTCTCATCGGTCATTCTCTGTCTTTTTGCGTGCGGCACATTTTCGCGATTCTGTGACTTAACTGATTACAACTGAGAGCTGCGGTTAGCTGAAGATCAAAAAGCGGAGCATGCAGATAGACCAAAGGTATCAAGCGGCATTGCTACTGTCTGCATTATTGAATGAACTGCAGATTGCTGCTGCAAAACTCAACGCGTGACGCTTTTCTTGGTATATATGTGTGTATATAGAAGAGTCGGAGAGTGGTTGACTGTGAAATAGAAGTATCCAGGGCGCCGCATTCTCTTTGACGAAGTCGTCACGGAATACTATCTATCTTCTACAGACAGTCTTCGTCAAACTCATGCACATATAGTTCACTTATTATTGTAACATTTCTGACTGTGACGAGCTACAGGCGCTCCAGGTTCAATGCCCTGCAAATTGTTGCATTGCGTCCATTCTTAAACTGTTTTGTCCGTTAGATCTATTAGCGTAGAGCGCAAATGCTGCAATAGGGCGTGGGTGACCTTAAGAGGATAGCTAGCAGGTGACCTATAGGCGGTTAAGAGATTAAGACGCTGATACAGCGCGGAAACTTCTTACAAGTAAAATAGTAGAGCAATTTACCAGCAAAACACCATGTATAAACTATAAGCATTTAGGAATACCCCAATACTGGGGCTGACGACAACGCCGGCTGTAGTGCACAGGCACTACAATAGGGCTAGCTGGTGATCTATAGAAGATATGTAGCTAGCGACCAACAATAGGTCATATCGTTGAACGAGGACAGCACCTTCTTCCTAGTATCGAAGTAAGGTAATTTGTCGGCAAATTAGCATGAATACACTAGACGTGTCTCTAAATACCTGGAAATTGGGGCTGGCGATAGCGCCGGCACGGGTGCAGGCCTGCTCCCCACAGGGCCTAGGAGACGAGAATCCCTAGTGGGTGGGGTTTTCATGAAAACAGATTTTGGAAAAAACTAAACATAACTGCACTTTGTAATTTGGACTACTGTTTCAAGGACATGCACCGAAGGTAAGAGGTCATCATAGGCCGCTACTCGTGGGGCAGGTAGCAGCGGAGCACCCGCACTAGGTGCTGTGCACTACACCAGCAGCGGTGCTGGTCACCTCCCAAGCGGGCCAAGGAAGCAAGAACCATGAGTGAGCAACTTTGAGAAATTTTGGCTAGAGCAACTCAGAACAGAGTTGCGTCTTTGGTAGATGTTTCACCAAAGATGCGTCGACAGTGAGAGAGTTTCTAGAGTGCCCAAGTCGTGGGCCAGATAGCATTGCAGCCGCTGCAGAGAACATGGTGTACTACAATTAGTGTCTTCCTACGTATTTTGCGAGTACGGTCCGTTTCTTGCACTTCCGTCCATTTTCCTCCTGCAGCTCACACTTTCTGTTTACTGAATGTAAAACTAAGCAGGTGCTGCTTCGCGTTTGGTGTTCTAATACTGTCAGGAGGCGCTGATTAGTGCTTTCCGTTTCTCCCGTTCCTTTTCCTTCTTCTGTCAACCTGCTGAACTTGTACCACAGAGTTGCAGGCTTTTGTGACATATATGTACATAGCCAACCGAAGACAGAGTGCTCTTTTCGTCGTGTTGCATTGCTTCACGGAATGTTTCTCCATTGACAAGATTCGTCGTCCTCGCTCTTCGGGTGGCTGTGAGGGCAGGGCGGGGTGCTTGCACTGGTTGTAACTCAATGAGAACAGCCGGTTCGGGGCGACGGAGTCAGCTACTTTGTTGAGCACTGGATATACTGGGGTTTGCTCACTCAGCTCTGGGAAACTAGCACTTTCAGGCTAGATGTTTTAGTGACCTGTTAACCGTTGATTGATAACGTGCGGATAATTCGGACTAACTGCGGCTGATCGCTGACCTAGACTAAATTGGGTCTTCCAACAAATTAAGGCAGTGGCTGCAATTAATGCGTGAATTAGCGTCTGCTTTCTTCCCCGCCATTTTCGCCTCTGTTTTCGCTCTAGAGCATTTTATGCAGTTCCGTGGACTCGCATCATCTCGTTTTTTCGGGCTCGGGTGTCTCGTCGAATTTGTCTCTCCGCAGTACCATAAGCTCCGCAGCTCTTAATGCC